ATAATAATACACTGCTTTAAAAGCAATAAGGGAGGGGAGAATTATGAAGTTGCTTTCTGGTGCCAAAACTACCAAAAGAAATAGGGTGTCCTGAAACAGTGTTTTTTTACAAAGATATACTCTAAGTTGATATTTCTGAAAGGTTTTCATGATAATTTGAGAATGCTGAGTGGGGATATAAGAAGGATGTAAGGGCTTTCACACTCTCCAAGGGGGCGAGGCATTGTGGCTGCAGGTAGAAGCTCAGGACCAGATGCAGGGATCCTGCATTCCTGGCTCCAATAATAACGGGCTTTACAGCTGCAGGTTAGTGACTTAGCTACTCTGAGAATCAGTTCTTCTCACTTATATGACAGGGACAGTGATTCCTTCCAGGCCAAGAGTCAGGAGTAATATTCTCTTGAATTGTAAGCCCCAGGGGAGCATGGGCCTCACCTGTCAATCACCACTACATGCCACAGCACATAACAGCACCTATGTCCTCAATGAGCATTTTGTAATGAACAAATGAATGAGAATGCGTGAATGCATCTACTTCACAAAGATATTGTGGTGATCAGAGGAAAAGCAAGTAGAGTGTGGCATATTGCAGGAGGCTTGATGAACCGTAGTGGCTATTATTACTAATGATCCTGGCCTATAGCAGATGTTCAATAAATAAATGACATCATTAGCAAAACACCATAAAGTAGAAAAAGTATCAAAAAAGTAAAATCAATACACTAAATGAACAGGACCCCAGAAGTCTGCATGGTGAGGGGACAGACAGTAAGGTGGCCCCATGATCTTCTCATCCAGGTCTTCATGCCCCCAGTGCTCCCCTTCTCTGATGGTGTTAAGGACTTGTTACTTGTTTTTAATTAGTAGACTATGACAGGGTGATGAGACGTCGTTTCCATGATTATGATACTTAGGATTGTGACCCCCACCTAGCAAGGAGACTCCTCTCTCTTGCTGGTTTTGACTAAGTAAGTGGGTGTGTTGGTCCATGTGGCAAGGCTGGTTTTCATCCAAGTCAACAAGAACTGAGGCTCTCTATTCTACAGCCACAAGGAATTTAATCCTGCCAATAACCATAACAGCTTGTAAATGGATCCTTCCCCAGTCTAACCTTCAGGTGAGACTGAAGCCCAGTGGACACCAGTGCCACAGCCTTGTGAGAAACTGAAACTGGGACCCCAACTAAGCCATATGAAAACTCTGACCCATAGCAACCAGGAGATAATAAGTGGGTGTGTTTTATGGTGCACAGTTTGTGGGACTCTGTTACGCAGCAATAGAAAATGAATACATGTAGTAACATAAGCGAGACATCCATTGCCACAGCATGGCATAAATGCCCAGAGAAGGACCAGTTGCTGAGTGATGCCGAGCATGGTAGGCACTGGGAGAACTGAAGATGCCATTCTACATAAGGGGCAGATATTACTGGGCAGAGCTTATGGTTGCCATGTGGGGATGTGAGACCAGTGTTACCCAACCTTTTCACTTTTCAAGACAGTACAGAAATCTGAGTTTTATGTGAAACCTTCATTTTTGAATGTTGGCCGCTAATTTGGAATTTTTAGACAGCAGTGAGAAGATCTCATGCAGGCAAAGAAAACATGTATTAGGGGCTTGATTCAGACATAAAGCATAATTTGGGGTTACCCCAGCAGGTCACCCCTGCTCCAAATTTGAACCCACTGATTCCAAGCTGGTGGTCTTAGGCCTTCAATCCAAGGGTCATCTTGAGGGTTAGAAAGAACACAGAAAGTCCTTAACATGTTGTCTGCCACAGGGGAAAGGCATGATACATTTCCATTACTATTGATCTTATTATTGCATTCATTTCCTATGGCTGTTGTAACAAATTACCACAATGTGGTGGCTTTAAACAAAAGCAATTTATTCCGGAGGCCAGAAGTCTGAAATCAGTTTCACTGGGTTACGATCAAGGTGTTGACAGGGCTGGTTCCTTTTGGAGGCTCCAGGGAAGACTCGGTCCCTTGGCTTTTCTACCTTCTCGAGGTCATGACCTTCTGGAGGCCACCTACATCCTTCAGCTCACATCTCCTTCTTCCACCTTCAAAGCCTTCAGCATAGAATCTTCCACTGTCTGTCTCTTTCTGTCCCTCTGCTTCCAACATCTCATTACCTCCTGTCCGACTCTGACTCCTCCTGTTTCTTCCTATAAGGACCCTGTGGTTAGCTTGGGCCCACCTAGAGAATCCAGGGTACCCTCCCCATCTTGGGAGCCTTAGCTTGATCACATTGACAAATCCCTTTTGCCACCTAAGGAAACATTCACAGGCTCCAGGGACTAGGATGTGGACACCTTTGGGGAGCCATTACTCAGCCGACCACAATAGCAATACTTGCTATTATTATCCAACCCACACGCCTCCTCTTTATGACCTCTGGGACACAAGGTCATAAGTCTGATCAAAGCTAATTCACTCCAGGCCGCAACGTCCAACTAGCATTCCCACAGTGCGGGATTCTGTCTGGGGGCGAAGTCAGCTAGCAGTGGGCCAGGGCTTCCTAATAACGAGTCTAAGCCTGGAGGTTAGCTTCGCTATCTTTCTCCATTTATGACCTTAGCTATCTCAGGGAAGCAAGCCAACAGTGACATAAAGGCAATTCCTAGTTGAGAGTATAGCCATCTCTGGGTGGACCCATTTCCAATGACCAGAAAACTCAAAATTGTAGCCCAGGGAGGGTGGCCAGTCATGTTATCACTTGCTTCATGTTAGCACCGCATCTCTTTTCTCCCCTAATCAGAAATTGATTCAAGTATGTGGTTTTTAAGCCTTCTGCAATCCTGTTTAACTCCCTTGGAATTCAGATCTCATTTTGACACTTACTCATTTCCATCTAAAACAGAACGCTATTGCTTTAAAATCACATTCAGTTGTAGAACTCCTTCAGCATACAGTGAATTAAGAACGAATGTTATTTTCCAGTTAAATTTGCAAGGGGATAATCTGAAGGCATGACTCAGAATCCTGATTAATTTTAGCGGAAGTAATGAGGAGGTTGTAAATGGAAAAACGTGTGTGTGCAGAACTTGCCTTCCAAGCACACAACAATTTATGCTAATTGATGGCTTCACAAACAAGGTAATCTTGAAAAAACCTGCTCAGATGTTTGAAGGCGTCTAATGGATAGCTATACAACTTTAATGCAATCACATGTTGCCCTGTAAATCTGAAGTGACTTGAATTCAACTGTACAGCTGACTAGCTAATGTCTATCCATCCACCCACCATCCAATCCAGCCAGCCAGCCAGCTATCTGCCCATCCATCCATTTATCTAGCTCTATAGTGATATCCAGAGTTGGTAAGCATATGGGGAAATGGATATCAAATCTGCATTAATTCAAAAAGAATGTTTTTAAATGATGAAGGGGAAAATATTTCATGATATGTGAAAATTACATGAAGTTTGAATTCAAGTGTTTTAAGAACACACCACACCCATTTGATGATGTTTTACCTATGGTTGCTTTACCTAAGGAGTTGAAATAGAGACCATCTTAGTCCACAAAGCCTACAGCATTTACTCCCTGGCCCTTCACAAAAAGCTTTGCCGATTCCTGCTCTGAAATCCTGAAGCAATGCATGCACAAGCCACTTGGGATAACTCAGGACTGCTCTGGGACAGATCACATTACTAACATGCTTTCCCTCCCTCTTTACATCCAACCAGCCCACATGTTTACATCAGCAATGTGCAAACTACCCTAGTGCTAGCATGCCAACACAGTGCCTTCGCTTTTGCAGATTTCCTTCCAGATGGGCAGCCCTGCATGTGTTTGAAGCCATGATGCATGATTTGCATTGTTTAACTCTTCTGCATTCGACTACAGTTTCATGTTATTCTTCTCAAAGAAGAAACTCAAGAATCACAGTTCTCGGTATGAGTGACAGTCCCTAATACCAAGCAACGAACAGGATAGGTGTCCCGAGAGAGCGTCTGCGGATGCTCGTTGTGTTGGTGTTTGTGGAGTCTCTATCCTGGAAGACTATGGAGGTTTATCAACCAGAGATGACAAATGCATGGCTATGGGCAAGATGCAGCCTATGGATAAGTCTTCTTTGGCCCACAAATCGGGACAGTTTTGTTGTTGGCTTTAATTAGAATGAATTTCCAACAGTTACAGACTGGGAGGTGCATATACAGACTCAAATCCTTGGCTTCTCTGAAAAAAAAAAAAAATCAGGAGATCTCCTCCATGGAGCCCAAAGTCTCATGTCAACAGTTGTCAGGTCTTCGGCTTTTGAGATTTCATTCCAGTTTCCTCTCAGCCCTCTTCTCTCAGTTATATTTTTCCCCTGATTCCCATTGACATTGGAAATTACAACATCTGCTACAGCGATCACCATGTATCTATAGGCAGATAACCCACATAGCTGTGCCCACAGGTGTCCATACACCCCAAATTGACTCTAATGTACATACTCCCTGCAAGTATGTCCCAATAATCATGTCCTCCCTAAATCCACACATTGAAATCTTAACCCCAAAATGGATGGTATTAGAAGGCGGGCCTCTCGGGACGTGACTAGGTCCTGAGGACAGAGCGCCCTTATAAAGACACTCCAAGTCCCCTCTGTGTGTAAGACAGAGAGAAAAGACAGCCAGCTATGAGCCAGGGAGTGGGCCCTCCCCGCAGACAGTGACTCTGAGAGCAGCTTGCCCTTGGGCTTCCCAGCCTCCCAGGAAGAGAAATAAATAAATGTCTGTTGTTTATAAGCTATCTAGTCAATGGTATGGGTTATAGGAGCCCAAACTGATTAAGGTACACACCTATGGCACAAAGTACATAAGGAGGTGACTGCCTCAGCCACGGGCCACTCCAAGCCGTCCCAGGGTGACATCGGATCTGAGGAATACCTGGGTGAGGATAGGAGTAAACCCCTGCTCTAATCGCTGGCTGTGGTTTCCAGCACAGGGATCCCAGGTGGCAGCCGGCGGCAGTTCCCACTGGGACCTGAGGACGGAACCCCGACCTACCATGGAGTTTTTCACACTCTGCAGCAGGCGCTCGTGCTGCTCGGCGATGGCCAGCGCGGCAGAGTGCACCTTCTGGTAGATGGCCTCGCCGTCTCGCGTCTGGAAGATAAACAGCCCCTCGCCAGTCTCACACATCCTGTGGAAACAAGAACAGAGCTTCTGAGAGCCCCGCCCCAGGAGCCAGGCGCCAGAGCCTCGGACGCACCAGGAGGCCAGACCCAGGGATGTCACGTGAGGCGAGGACACTCATGCCCATCTGCTAAACAGAGTGAGCGAGAACCCACATTTCCAACGAGCTGCTATGACTACAGGCAGGAACGCATCTCTCTTGGCTAACATGGTGATTTTTTTTCTCAAGAAACAAAGCAGAAAGTTAATAAAATAAAAAAGGCCATTTCTTGATTTTTGGCATAATCCTTGTACTCCGCTTTCCTGCTGTCAAAGACTGCTTCCCCCTTCAGTCCAGGAATCAGACCCGTCAGCGTCCCCACCGTCCAGTTCAGAGGTGAACTAAGGGTTCCATGACTCCCAGGCTCGCTTCTAACTTCCCTTACAGATGATGCCTTAAGGATGCCTTCATTTCCAAAGTCAGAGATTCAATCTGACTCCAGCTTCCGCTCAATGTGACCAAATGCAGCTGAGAGTTTTGTTGGGGATCATGATGGTGCTGCATTAACGTGGCCAACAGAAGAGCAGGTCCCCCAGGGAAGCTCTGTGGTCTGCTGGTTAGTGTTAATGACTCAGAGGAAGGTCATCTGTGCCTCAGACTGCTAAACCAGAATGAAATCCATTCACAAGGGAGATTGGTACACACAGGTAGGCAAGAAGTTAAAACGTGCTTTAATTGCTGAGCATACTTAGTGTGTGTGTGGGAAGGGGAGAGGTGTATATACATACACGATATGTAGAATTACCAATATATTTAATCACTCTAAATATTTTAAAGGACGTGGGCAAAATTACATGCAAGGATATTTTTAAAGTTCTGATTTTGATCTATACATCTATCGACAGTAAACAAAGAGGTTGCTTTTGTTTGTTTATTTTAAAGACCTTTATTATTCAAAGACACAATACCACTCCCTCCATCTCAGAATCT